AGAGACACCCCCCGAGAGCCCCAGCGTGGGCTGTGCCCCCCCCCCGTGGGCAGGGGGCTGTGTCCCTGTGTCCCAAAGCAGCACCTGCAGATCCCTGCTGTGCCCCGGAGCCGGCCTCGGGGCTGCTGACACTCAGCTCTTCTGGCCACAGCATCCCTCACCCCAGCCCCAACACCCCTTTCGCTTCCCCTGCCCCTGCTATTTCAAGGGGAACAAATGCCACCCCCAGGTCACCCCCAGCACCAAGAGGCATCAGCTCCGCTTCCTGGTAAAAAGATTTATTAAGAACCAGCAGTACCTGCCCAAAAGGAGGATGCTGCCCTGGCACGGGCGCTGCGCGGCAGCAGGGAGCAAGACGAGAGGGTTAGTGCTTCTCCAGGCAAAATAAACCCCAGTCAGAGCCAGCATCAGGATGAAACAGAGCAAGTCGAGGGCACAGAAAGGTGGTGGGAGCATGTCTGTGTGGCAGAGAACCTCCTGCCAGTGCAACCCGGCAGTCGTTAAGGCGTATTAAGGGCTTGGGGGAAGACCAGCCCTACGGAGAGACTAAATAATGCACGGAGGCAGGGACAGCGAGGGAGCAAGGGATGCGGGTGGCTGGTGGGTCACCTGCACCTCTGCCCTGTGGGGACCTGGCACAGGCAGCAACGTCACACGCCCTGCCCGGAGCTGCAGGCAGGAAGGATGCTGCCTGCACACACCTTGGCCCCCAACCACAACCAGGAGATGGGCTGCAGGGCCCCCAAACAGGACCCAGGCTGCTGGTCTTCAGAGTCACCTCCCAGTCCATTCCACGTCCAGGATGCTGCCCCACGCTGTGGGGGTGCCTCTGCCGGGTGCCAGTGCACTGTCCTGCCTTGGCTCTATCCATGGCAAAATGAGATGAGTGGGACTTGTCCTCGGCCAGGCTGTGCCCCAGCTGCCCATCACAGCCGTGTTCCCCCCCTAGAGCAAGCACAGCTGATGTCTAGCCATCTCTCCTGCTGCTGGGAGCAGCACCAGCTGCTTGGTCCCTCACAAGTGGGAACGTCCATTGGGGGTTTGGGTAGTTTCAGTCCTCTTGTGCTTGTGATGTTTGTCGCAGGAGGGACACGGGAAGGTGCCCTCACACGTGTTGCCAAGCTGGTCCCACACACAAGACAGGGATGCGCCAAAGGCAGACCCAGAGCTGCTGTGAGGGTGACAGGTCTCCTACAGCCACTGTGGGGACACTTCTGCAAAACAACCCCATGCTCTGGCCAGAGGTGGTGGGGGCTCATGGAGACACCCTCCGCAGCTAATCCTGCATCCCTCCAGCCTGCCCCAGCACTCTCGAACACTCCTTCCTCCCCCTGGACTGCTCCAAGAAATATTGCTTTTCCCTGGAATGTTTTTGTCTAAAATTGCCCCAACAGGATTAAGAAAAAAAAAAAAAAAGTAGTGAGTTAAAAAAGCCTTGATCACACTGAAAGGGTGGGGTTAGGCTCCAAGGCCACCCTGTCTGGTGCAGGGGACACCCTATTAATGGGGTTGGGGACAGCAGGACAGACAGAGGGGCCTTTCTGTGTGTAGCAAGGGAGGGGGGGGCACCAGGTTGGGTTGCAGGGGCTGCCTCCTCCTAGCAGCAGGAGGGATGCACTTCACAGGGATGGGGTGGGATGAACTGGGGTGCAACTGGATGGGATGGGACAGGGGACCAAGGCAATGGGGGTGTCCCAGCCCCTCACTGGGACTGCAGGGAGAAAGCCAGCTTGACGCAGGCGAGCTCTTCCCCACCATTGCTGACAGTCGCCCGGACACGGTAGTTGCCGTTGGTCATCCAGGAAGGCAGCTCCATGTCGGGCAGGATGAAGTCACTGGCTGGCAGGGAGTAGGAGCCCTGCAGAGAGAGGGGACATGTAGGCAAGACGTCAGCCAACCCCCCCCAGCCCCACACCAAAGGGCACGGTGGTACACAGCGGCACTGCCGGCATCACACCGACCGGGGGTTTCAGGCGTACCGCTTTGAAGGGGCAGTGGCAGGGGATGCCATAGGTGAGCAGGGGCTCCGGGCAGGTTGTTCCGGGCGGGATGAGGTTGTCAAGGATGGTGCAGACATCATTGTAGGTGCAGCTGCCCAGCTGGTCAATGCAGGGCAGCTGGATCCAGAGGTCACCCAGTGCCTTCTCCACCACCAGCACCGCCTGGAGGGAAGGTGTCCGGCACCGGTACAGCCGGCATGGGCAGTCACAACTCCTCTGGCCTGTCCCACCCCCCCACTCCCCAGCTATCACCCTTGGCTCCTGCTTGTGCAATTCTTTGGGGTGTCCATGGGGCTACCACACACCTTCCCGCTTCCTACTTCTGGTTCCTCTCTACCTACAGGTTTCGCTTCCTCCAACCTTGACCTCTTGAGCAAACACCTCCCAGCAGCCCACACACCCCCTCCTTCCCCTCTCCTCAGTGCCCTGTCCCCAAATTGCCTGGCAGCTCCTATCCCACAGCTCTGCCTCCACACTCCCCCAGCATGCTCACCGCAGCCCCAAACAGGCACCGTGACATTGCTCAAGACAATCCCTGCACCTTGTGCAAAGAGACATGTTCAGTCTCATTCTAAAAAGTCCCAAAAAAGTGGTGCAGGGCAGCCAGGCCAGCCCAGGCTCCCGCAGTGGTGCCGTGGCATGTCTCTGGATGGAGCAGCCAGGCCTGGCCACTGAAAAAACAGTGCTGCAGTGACCGCCAGGAGCACCCAGGGCATTTGGGGTTTCATTTCCCTCCCTGAGTCACTGCGTCCTCAAGACATGACACAGCTCACGTGGTTTCTCCCACTGGGACAAGGTTGAGAGCTTCCCACTGGGCCGTCTGCTCCTACCACTGGTCTCCCCATGCCCATCACCCCATTCTTGCTTACAGAGCCAGACGTGCTCAGCCCTTCACTGCTCCATGCCTCGCTTCCCAAAGAGCTGCTCATTCCCATACCCACTGCTGGGCATTTCCCAGGTGCCAGTGGTTTTTGGGAAGCTCTTCCCTCTCTCATCGTGCAGAGGCACCTCCAGCGCTTACCTTCAGAGGGGAGGCCATGGCCTTGCTGCTGCTGACGGCCGCGCTGACACGCAGGCTCCCTGGGATGCTGATGGGATCAGGCGCCACGGAGAGGCTCTGCAGCACCACAGGGTCCCTCTTGTCACCGCAGTTCTCCCAGGCAAAGCCACCAAACTGCAGCACCAGGAGACAGGAGGAGTTAGAGCCAGGGCGAGCCTTGCCCTGGGTTTGCAGGAGGTTTCCCCAGTGTTGGACCCCTGGTCCCCTACAAATATTTGCTGACAAACACGGCCAGAAAATGACCTTCAGACCCCCTTCAAATGCCAAATAAGTATTTCCCTCTTCATTTCTTGCACTCAGCTCTTCCAAGCCTGAGGGCATTGCAGAAACTCTCTGCCTAACACCCCCCCCAC